AACAAATTTATTACGTCCACCTGCTGGTACGGTAACTGCATGCATGCCACGCCACATGTGTCATCGCCACTGACATTCTTTGGCGATTTCTTGCAAGTAATTCACTGGCGATTTCCTCGTTGATTGCGATTAAAAAAACTTTGGCGTGGCCATCAGCGTGAGAGTCATGAGGGAACTGGGGGGGGGGGTATGCACCAATTTGTCCTGGAGCCTGTGGTTGGCTCTTGCCGGCCTTGCCGTCACAGGTGTTTTACTAGTTCACAGTCATGACAATGGATGAGTTCATTCCTAACATATTCTACCAATTCATTTGCCCACAACATCCAATTCATCAGTAAGTTAGGGACCTGAGTCGTAGAGTATGGGGGTGGGGGGGGGGGCTGGAGAAATAAAATATTTACCTGTTTATTTTCCCTTGGCCCGCCCCTGGAATAAGGCTTAATTATTAATGGCCCACCCTTAAAGTCTTGCACAAAAATTAATGACCCACCCTTTGCTAAAAGACAACAACAGGTCGGAAACTCATGGATCACTTTCTATTGGTAATTATTTTTTTCAATTTCAGTTTCATACATGATTTATTGCTTGGAAAACACCAAAACGTTACATAGGACTCTTTTATCATATAGTAAAATTATTATTGCCAAACGTACGCCCCTATTAGGATGCAATCATCTACAATCACGTGATCACACTACGATATAAATCCTACTTCACTCTTACCATCACAATCATTCAAATTCACTGTACTATTGAGTAAGATACCTCTAAAAGGACCTGTCATTTGCTCTGCTTCAAAATTAACTGAAAAGATTAACAATATAATATATGGTGTTCGAATGTACCAGTACTAACAAGATATTTGGTAGGATAACTTGACTGATAACATGTAATGGTTATATCATTTTTCACTATCTCCACCTTTCATTTTTGTTAATACTACGTAACTGAAAAATACATGCATGCTGAAACCCTCGCCTTGCTGACAAAACCATTGTATTTTCCGAACATGAAGTTCTAAAGTAGTTTTCATGGTAACACGATACATTTTTAAGAATATTCTTACAAATGAAAAATCGCCTAAAAATATCACTCTTAATTACAAAATTATTAATTTCCCAACATATATATGTTAGGTATGTTATTATACGTAATATAAGCCTCAATATAAGGTAAAATTCAACCACAAACGCTTCGCAAAACGTTTTAAAGTGCTCTTTAACTAAACTGCCTTTAATTAAATGGCTTTAGTGATAAACTTTGAGTTTGCAATAAAATGATTTCAAATTCTCGCTTACAAATAACTTTGCTTTCTTTTTTATTTAAAAAATTCAATATAATAAAAAAGTGAATCAATATTAAAGATACACTGAAATTATATTCTGTCTTGTTTAGTTGTTTCATATACGCAAAGG